ATGATAGCAATCCTTTTTTTTTTTTTTTGCATTTGCCACCCTCCTAATAAACATCTTCCATCAAATTGATGCTCGCTTCTCTAAGCAGTAAGTAAATGTGCTGCCATTATGAGAGGACATCCAGGAATAAGAGTCTCAAGCTACATCCTCAATAAACTTTGTAAAGAAAACCAATAGTTTAATTACACGTATTTGCTAATTATTTTGGACCAGAAGTGAACATTAAATCACTTGGCGGAGCCGCGCAAAGTAATAAACATTTGAATGCAATAAATGCCTAAATGTTATTTCCCAGCCTCGGAGGAAGGGAGGCAGTCGGTAATAAAATGAGCTCTTGGGGAAAGCACAAAGGTATCGCACATCTCAGAGTAATCGAATTTAGGATTTGCATATACATATACTCGTCCAAGCCCCCTCGCCCCACCCCTCCTCCCTCCCGCGCCCGTTGTCATGACATGCCTTTGCAGTTTGCAGTGTGGCGTGGCTCCACTGCAGACCACCTCTTGTGCAGCACCGCAGGCCCACTGGCTGAGGTGCGAGGCCAGAGGGCGCAGCCTTGCACCAAGATGAGAAGGATGACTGCAAAGCTTGACTCGACACAGGCGCGCTCGAAATATGGGCAGATTTAGTTGATTCTTTCACTCTGAATTGTTTCACGAATGTTGTAAATGTTTCCAAATATTCTTCCTTGGTTAATTTTATATTCAGCGACCAGCGTTGTAGCCAACTTCATTGGCTGTGAAAAGCTTCAAGCTTGACTTGTCTTTTTTTTTTTTTACATCTAGGCTCATGCAAATCACATTAAGAAGTGCTTTTGTGCAAGACACTACGCTGAGGTTGATATTTATTTATATATTTATTATGATTTTTCATCGATTGGTTTGTTTTATGTGCTTCCAAGCAATGTAATGATTCAGGTGAATGGTTAACAAATCACTTGCTAGGTTCAGTCTCACATGCCGACTGCGGTCCATAATTTTTCAATATTGGATCAGAATTCTAACTTAACCCGCTGAGCAATCATCGATCAAACTGGGAAATGCTTTTTCTGTCCATTCGTCCGCGATTGTACTCCCATTCTCTTCAAGACAGCGTTTGCAGCTCCCGCTACACGGCCCGGATGCATGTGCACGTTGCAAATATTTGTGATTTGTGCGCGAGTGTGAGCGCGCTTGTGTGTGTGATCTGAATGCTTATGTGCATGAATGGGTTGTCTGCTGAATTGCATGCAGCTCCACTTCTATGAATCATGGTGCCATCTGCCTTCTGGTTCTAATCAGAGGAATTCAAGCATCTCTTGACCCCGCAGATGCCCCCGAAAAATAATGATCAAAGCTATTGCAGGCATTCATATACAGTATGTTCTGCATACTGTAATGCTTTCATTAGACAGCCCAACCCGCCCCTCCGTCCCCAAACCTTGTTTAACATAAGGAGATGTTCTTTAGTTGGGCTAATTGTGCACCAACTCACAGCATTCAACGGCCACGATTGCAGCCTGCCGCTGCCGCGGTCCCCGAAACTCAAATCAAAGGCCCCTTCTACCAAAAGACCAACCTTCACTTGCAGTTCCTTAACCTAATTAACATTGAGTCAGCAAGCATGGCGGCGGGGTTGTGGTCAGGGCAGGCGGATACAAGAATAGCAGACGTCGCGCTGACACGCTGCATGACACACTGGGCCTTGACAAAAAGAATTACGCGTCGCAACAAAACTCAGCGGGCTTCCTGGACCAGGTAGCGTGATACTCACACGATGAAGAGCGGCGGGTTTTGTTCAGTGACTCTTTACTGAAACTCTGCTGCTTATTGTCTGATTTCATGGAGAATATTTTGATTTCCTGCAGAAAGTGAACAGAGCAATTTTGGAGTTGCCTGAAATGTTCTTCTAAATTGGACACAGTGCAGGGAAAAGCGCTGTTAACAATCCACTCATTGTGGGGCTTTTCTACAACAACGAGGCGTTCTAATGAGACCATATTCCAAATTGCCAAGTATGTCAAATGAGGCTGCAGAAATAATGGAAAAAAAGTCGCCGTTCTCGCCATTCTCGAATGCCGCGGCGCTGAATGTGCTAAAACCACGTCCCTATCAATTGCCAATGAAGTACAGTACCTGTATGACTACATGTTTGAGCTTTGATAAGATCTAATCTAAAACCTCCGGTGGCTGGAGTATATCCCACTCATCGTGGGACTTTTCTACAACAACGAGGCGTTCTAATGAGACCATGCCAGCCTGAAAGCCCCAGTCCACACAGTGCCTGTCACATTGGATTAAAAAATTAGAATTAAAACAAAAATCCTTGCTACTGAGTGAGTCCTCTACCTTCCTACTTGTGTTGTCCACACACTCGTGGCCAACTGTGAATTGCTCGAAAGGGGCACTACCAGTGTGAGCCTGAGACCATTAAGATGGCTGTCATTCTTTCCCTCTCCTTGCACCCCAGCCTTTCTCATCATGACTTGTGCGCACTCACAGCTGACAACGAGGCGCTCTAAAGCTGCAGCGCAGGTGACTTTTTGAAAAGAAGAAACATATTCAGGTTGAAGGCATAACTAGCAAGGTAACTGTAGGCGACAGATGGTGTCACTCTACGTTAACCCCCGCCCCCCCAAAAAAAGAATTACTGAAATAGTCATAAAAAAAATTAAAAAAAACGCTCAATGCTCCAACGCGCTATCTCCTAAAATGAGTATTCTACAGTTCTCAGTCTTTGCACGTTTTCAGCTGTTATCTTCAAACACGTATCGTATTTAGAAACAAATGTTTGAATTCAACTTTAATTTCCCTTTGTGATGTGTAGCATTGATTCTCCTATTTTATCCCGTTTGGCTTGAGAACCACTTCATTTACGAATGGCCCGTTTTCCTCATGTTTCCTATGAAATTATCATGAGCTCACGTTTCCCAAGATAGAAATCGCTTCATGTTGCTTGCCAAGGGATCCTTCACACATCATCATTTGTCATCACAGTAAAATGTAAAGGTGATGAATGTTTTATGCTTTTTCATGCTACTTGCATTCACAGTGGAGTTGCCACATTGTATATGCTCAGAAATGATTTATTAACCCTTTTTTCTTTTATTTCATGATTTTCTTTTATCAAAAGATTTGAAAATAGTGATGCTGCATGGGCATGGGAAAATGAAGTTGAGAAAAAAAAAAAGGTCATTTTCTCAGCTATTACATCTCACACCAAATGACGGTAGAATCTGAACAAAGTGGATGGTTGTGTTTCAGCTCCGAAGAGCCAGGGGCAGTGAAAACCTTCAAGTTTCCATTTGTGAGGACAAAACAAACATGCATCAGCTGACAGCTGTGCTTTTCTTAGCCGCTTGCATGATGCATTCCCTTACAGCAGCGTGGAAACACTACCGGGCCTTCCTGTTATCTGCCCCACAACAAGGCTGACTACTCATAGGGTGAGCGTGAGGAGGAAGCTGTGCACGCGCTACATATGACAATCCGCATTACTGTCTGCTTGGCAGACAGCCTCAGCTAGGCCATCCCAGGGCCCGCAGCCAGAGACACGCTGCAGCTGAGTTATCATGCTTACTCAAATATTCATAAGTGGATAATGAAAGTAGAAATAGTTTCCATGTGCTACAAAAGAGGCCGAGATAAACAAAACGGCTACTGTTCTCTTCCTTGATTGTGCAGTGCGTCTACTGTTTGAGGGCTGTCAGTTGTAGCGATTGATTGTCATTCTTTTCTGCCAACGTAGGAGACTAGAACCTACTTGTTTGGGGCGACGTTAAATGCGTCGTTTTTGTTGGAGGTCTTTCTAGCATCCACTGTGGCTTCAAGTTTTAAAGCAGCTTTGGTTTGAGTTTTTTTTAATTGTGACTGTCAGTTATGTGTCAGATGCTGTCCAGCATTAAAACGACAGCAACACTGATGTTTATTGAAAAAAATAACAACAAAAATAATCATAATCGTAATAATAATTTTAAGTCAATTTTTTTTGTGTACATTTGCTCAGCGTCACATTTTGACTTTTCGAGTTAACATGTGCTTATTTATCATTTGGCTTTAGAGTTAGTTTTAATTTTAGTGTAGTGCATTTAGGTGTCACTAAACATTTAGATTGAACGGTGTATTTTGTATTTGTAAGTTGACATTTTTTTTATGTGGATATTTTAAAAAGTTTTTAAAACAAAAAAAGTTTGTGGCTTAACGGTACAAAATGTTGATGTCTTAGCGCGAGGCGCTTTACAAACGGCACCCCGTATTTTCTTGTCTCTTTTTATTTAGGTGCGCCTTGTGACAACACGTCTCATCATCTCGGGCCTCCTTGTGTACCATGAGCTCTGGTTCTGCCCAGGATGTGGCAGTCGAGCATTTTCTGCGTGACATCGAGAGGCGGAGTAAACGGCTCCACTGTGCTGTGATTGGCTGCGAGGTGGAACGACCCCGCAGCGACATGAACCTGCTGTATCGAAAGAGCCGTTTGGATTGGAGGCAGAGGGACCAAGATGGAAGCAAGAAAAGGTGAGCGGAATGGCATGTGTACGCCGAATCTCTCGGATTACAGGGTTTGGGATTGGGGGATATAAGCCTCTCTGTCATCTTCAAAGAGTATGATTCCCACATCTTTATTCTGAGCACAGATGATAAAGTTAGGCTGGTTAGAGATTTGCATAGCGGCACTTCTTAGTTAATATATGGGGTAGATGAGATCAACGTCCCTAATGCCAGCAAAATGTCAAGTAGCACAACCATCCATCCACTGACTCACTCTTATCCGCGGTCATGTTGCGAGGGGCAGTCGCTTTGTCAAAGAAGTTCCCTTTCCTCAACCACTTGATCCAGCTCTACCAAGGGGATGCCGAGGCGTTCCAAGGCCAGCCGAGAAGCATAATGTCTTCCCCTCGGCCTCCTCACAAGAGAGGAATCCTAATCAGATGTCCGAGGTAGCTCATCCGGCTCCTCCCAATATGGAGGAACAGCGGCTCGACTCTGAGTCTTTCTCAGATGACCGTGCTTCTCGCCCTATCTCTAAGGCAGAGCCGAGACACCCTGTGGAGGAAACTCATTTTGCCCGCTCCTCGATGTTTTTCTTTTGGTCACGAAAAGGGGGGGAACACCACTAGGGTTGACCGATCCAGAGGCACTGTCCCCAATGGCCATGCGATGTTGCAGACCCAGATCATAAAAGTGTGCCGCTGTGCAAGAAATCACTCCTAATGATGTTGTCAGCAACATTTAGGACAAATCGACGTGGTCTTACTTAGAGCAGAAGCATTATGCAGTTTCAATCCCGGTGACAGAAGATGAATCGCAAGTTTACAGCCGTGGACAAGCCATAACTTAAGGCCATCAATTAAAGTGTCATGTGTTGTGTCAGATGTGTCAGTGAGGTCTGTCAACAATGAGGACACTGGCACACTCAATGTCAGCACCCAACCTTAACCTAAAACTTCCCGCGAGACGCTGACGGATTCCTGTGACACCTCGTTGCACGTTTTCATCTCCAAGAGAACATTTTTTGGACTCGTTTTTTTTTGTTTGAAGACAATCCGGTCTTGGTCTGTATTAGCCCTCTTGAGCGGCTTCATCAAAGCGGACAGTGGACTCGGTTTTTTTGTTTGAAGACAATCCGGCAACGTCTTGGTCTGCATTAGCCCTCTTGAGCGGCTTCATCAAAGCGGACAGTGACCTCATCATGTTTTGACCGCACATGTGTTTCTTGCCACATGATTGGGTCAAAGGTGACAAAATCACCATATTTTATTCAAGCGTTTTATTTGCACACAAAGCCTCATTCTGTGGAAATATTCATTTCCAATCGGGATACGGCATTTGCGCACTAGATGTTTAAGATTAATGGCTACGGATGAAGACCTCATCGTGATAAGAAGAGCACACATCGTTTCATTTGCCCAGTGATGAGATCATATTATTGTTGGCTTGTTAAATAGCTCCTGAGTAATAAATGTCTTCTGAATGAGCAAGTATGAACTCATTATATGCTACAGTTGAAACGGCACGGAGGCATATGTCTTCATTGGTGTTGATATGTTGTTGCAACATTTTCCAGAAAATACAACTTTAATTTCCTGAGTGGCGGAGACAAATTTACCATGTTATAAATCATTCCATTTCTCCCCCCAATTAAAAAAAAAGTTCTGACATGCCAATTCAGAAATTATGGGCAATGAAGATCATTTGAAAAGCAATTTCCTCATTAATGGCCAAAGTAAGTGTAGACCAAAATATTTCATTCTTATTATCATGATATTCTTATGAGTGGATCTCACTTGGATCGTAGCGGAAGGAATCCAGATAATGAACTCTCGTTACGACACAGACTGCCAACTGGAGTGTGGCGCGCGATGCCTGCAATGTTGACCACATTATTGTAAGCTCCAATTGTCTTGCCCTGTGTTTCAACGCATCACCGGGATGGCAACCGTTTGTGTGACCCGTATCCATACAGTATATATATAGTAACGGCTACACTGTCGGTTCAGATGTGGATCTCCAGATGTGCCCCCATGCGGCATTGCACAAATGTGATCAAAACAAGTCATATGTGGATTGACAAGTGGATTTGCTTCCTAACTTTTGGGACAGGGTTTTAGTTATTGATATAAAGATGTTGTCCCCTCTGCTGAAAATTCAGATGAGTTCTAAAGCTTCATTATTGATAGTTGAATCACACCTATAGAGACACCAGACGGAAATATTTAAGGGCCATTGGTAAATCGCATCCACTGGTGGCAATGCATCGGATTCATCGTCTTCTGCAAAATCCGGTCCACGGATTTTCGAACCGTCTTGACATTGTTCTCGGGACTCGGCAACGTTCGCGGTACATTTACAAATGAACAAGTGGAGAATACCCAGTAGGATATATTGTGGCTTTGCAATTAGTCTTTTCTTCCCTCGGGGAGTAAATATACACGTCAACGCAGGAAAGAATAAAGTGTGTCGATAAGTGAATAAAACAGCATCCAGTTGCCGAGGCGCAATACGCAAAGTGTAAAAGCCAGACGGTGCTGTCAGTCAGAAACAAAAAGCGGCGTTTTGTCTGATCTGTCTCACTTTTATTTATTGTTTTGGAAGCAAGTGGCAGTAATGATTCCACGATTTCAGAGGGAAACCGTCAAATGCGCAACAATGGTTTCCACGGTAACGGTTGAGAGTGGAAAACAGATGTGGGTTGAGAGTATAAAGAAAAGAGTGCGAGAATTCTATCAGTCCCGTATTCACTAAGAGTACTCTGTTTTGACAGGGGAATTGATTTCCTAATTAAGTGCATTTGAGTGGAGAGTAAATGTGGAGAGGTGGAGATGGAAAAAGACATGTGTGAGAAAGATGGAGCGGACTCTAGGGTGTTCCTTTTTTGTACTGAAAAGCCCGGCAGGCAAAGCTGTTGTTTGAAGAGCAGAAAGAGAGGGAGTCAATAAAATAAAGTGGGGTAAATTAATGTTTGTATGATTCTTTCATGCCTTCTTTTTTTTTTTTCTTCCTCCCCTTCTTTCTACCAAAACCGCAGCTCGTCTCAAAATGACCCCTCGGCGACTGTCGGCAAAGTCAGAGACTTGGCCTCGTTCCGTCGCCACTTCCGAATGGGCTTCATGACCATGCCGGCCTCCCAGGACCTTTCCCCTCACTCGTGTGCCTCAGCCATGGCGCCGCGCTCGCAGTCCTGCCACGCGGTCGGCGCCGGGGATGCAAGTCTGGAGAACGGGGACTACTCCGACACCCAATCTCAGCACGGCGGCCGCTGCCCGCCCGGCAAACC